ACCAACTATTATGTAAAGTTCAATAAACGAGGTTAAATTAATCAGAGAATGTATCCGGATTTATTCTCGTAGGTATAACAATAACTTGAAAATCAATGAACAGTGTTTCCCGTTGGTCCTATCCAGGAACATTGTCACGTGACAAAAGGGAAGCTTACACTGTACATACAAATCGATTTAACAAGCTCTGCTAACCAGAGTAGTGTGGTAGCCTACATACTATATTCATGGGGGGAACACGAATGCTCTAAATTTTGTCTGATAGTTATCTGACGAATTCCTGTCTTTTCTCCGTAGAAATTGATCTTTTTTGACTATGTATTCCGGACGGCATTTCTAGAAGGGGTCAATGACATTATAAGTTATTGACAAAATGTCTACAAAAGGCTAAAAAGGAAGTACATGTATGATTTTTTCCAAAATGACCAATATATCAATGCTGCTAGGATCATTTACTGTTGGTAATAAATATAACGAGTTCCACGTTGAAAGGAAAGAAGGGTAATATTGCTAAGCGGTAATTCTACACGCTATTAATCTCATTAATGGCCCCGGCTTGTCATCAGACCCTTCTTCTGATGGTGGGATGACTATGATATTTGCTTAAAATAAAGTCTACTAGTATTCAGTAACTTTACTCAAACTTATCACGCAAAAAGAGAAAGTTCAAAAATGGAAAAGGGCTTTACTTTATAATTAGATATTGACATGAACAATATGAAAAGGATTTTATGTGGAATATAGATCTGATCTCTGAATTCTTGAACTAGAGTAACTTGAGTACAAGAAATGGTAATAAGTCACACTTTCATAACCCTCCTTGCATAACGACACATCTACCTTTGGTAACAGTTTTAAATGCAACTTTTCTTTCTTTGTAGACACTGTAATCAGCGCCATGTCTAACCGTGTCTTGTTCCAGTTGATATGGAGGACATTTGTTGTAACACATACAGAACATTGATATGAGACAAGAACAACAGAAAAACATTGATATGAGACAAGAACAACAGAAAAAAAAGAAATTCTTTATTTTTTTCTTAAGTTTGCCTTATTCCGTGTTTCACGTCCCGTACTTTGTGGATTCTGCTCTGAATAATTGTGTTGTAATTTTTCGAAGTAATATCAATGTGCTCTATGATTGTACTTTTGATGATCTCGGTGCTTTTTAACTTACAATACATTGTATTTCATTTTTTTGCATTTTGTTTTTATATGTTTATTTGTACTTTGACAAAATACCTTAAGAGAACCATATGTATACACACACGTGCAAAATTTGCACTCGGACATTTTCCTACTAAAAGCTTGGTTAACACAGTGTATATTGGCGTAATATCATTAATATGGTTTCCAGCGACTAGCGAAAATCCCATGGACTAGTCCATAAAATAATCCATAATCGACAAAAAGGCAGCCCGTGATTGTTTTCTGGTCCTTGCAATAAAAGGCCAATTTATTTATGTTAGACAATCTGATATTAGGTTAAACGTATCATAGTTTGCTTCTAGCTTTATTTAATGATTTGAGTTCCTTTAATAGAAGTGCAGAAAAGATGAATCACGAATATTTACAGAAGCGGATTTCGAAGTTAATCGGTCATTAATCGGTCATTAAATTTGCTGATTCACGTGTACAAATTAAACAAATTCGGAAAAAAATGATGATTTGCATCTTTTGATGGATGTTTGCTGGACACCTTATCAATTATCCTTACAGAATAGCGAACAGGTTAATATAATCCTGTAACTCTTGTGGAACATAGTGCTGCAAGTGCAAAATAGCAATTGATGAGATTACAAAAATAGTCATGTTGCAGATTTTATTTATGCAATAAAATATGTCAGAATGACAGAATGTATAAAAGAAATATTAAATGGGATAATGCATGGCAATTTGCTCATAAAGACAGAAAAATGTAGCATCAGGAATTCCCCATTATGTTTGAAAATGGTATCGATTGAATGTGCAGTCTGAAATGGATCGATATTTATTTATTTTTAGAACTTTTTATGTTTATATCCTTATTTGTCTTTTTAAAACATACTATTTTTGACCATATATGCCTATATTTTTAACATACTTGTAATTATTTTAATTTTTCCTGTTCACCGTAAGCACGCAATAGGAATATGCTGTGTCTGCTCTCTAACTCTTCCTTGTGTTTTGTGTGTTAAACATCGTATAAATGTCAGCTGACGCTATGAAAAATAAATATAAACCGTCGTATGCACGAAAATACGACACGACAAGGGCTGATATTGTTTTAGAAGGCATTATTTCCGTCTTTTGAATCATATTGGGAAACACTTGACTAGCTATGGAAATAGGTCGTGCACTATATATTACAAATGGCCTTTTTTTAAGGGAAGTAAATGGAGGGGTTAAGTTTCTATCGTCATAAAATCGATTAAATCGACAAAATCTTGACGTCAAAACTGCAATTTAGTTCTGGGAACCTGGTATTTATAGAAAAATCAATGGCAAAAACTAAACGCTGGGAAACTACTCAATATATTTTTTTTTATCCTACTTCATTGAGATACGGCAAAATTATTAGATGCTTATCATTATCCTTGTTTGTTAATGCTCCTAAAGAATTCCATCATTGCTTTGTTTTTAAATTTATGTACATATATTGTGTAACGTTTTTTTTTTTTTTAATTTATGCAATTTAAATAAATTACGTTTACTCAACTGCTATTTATGTATGCAATTAATGCAAATAAATCCTCAATCACTTAAGATTTCTTTTTTTCGTGGAAATGGTGAAAATAGACTTCTCTAAATAATTGAATTTTAATTATAAGATGTTTAGTGTTATTGTTTAAATATTTCTTGCTATAGTATTTGGAAGAGTTTGTGAATTCTCTGGTTCAAGAAAGAGCAAACAGCTAGTTACATATAAAGGATTTTACAACAGAAAGACTTCCCTTGGGTTGAAAAAAGTAAAGGAGACCAAAAATATGAGTACAGACAACTTACAGGAGAAAAAAATATGTCCCACATTTCAAAAAAAGTATCAAACTTTTTCATTCTGTTAATTGTGGCAATGCGTCAAACTTGAAACAAGAATTATAGCAAAAGGCTTTGTCATGGTGTCTATCAATCATCGCCATGATTAATATTTACTCTTTAATCTTATAAGATCTTTTATTTTTCATTCTTTGATTTTAGCATCCATATATCCAATTTTTTAACCTGAGATTTGAAAGATAATTTCAGTATTCCACATTTTTCCTGACCTTTTTTATTGCGATAAATTTATAACTTTTTTTTTTCATCTTCAACTGAATAACTTTTAAAATGAAGTTTAAAATATAGATAAGTGCATATAGACGGCCCTATATGTATCATTACATTTATTTTTATTAATACTACTGTTAGCCATGCATTCTAAACTTTTCGTCTTTAGTGCTGCCTTTTATTCTGATATGTATTGATCCTAAAACTGTGATATGATATAGTCTATATTAATGTGGTATGAATTTTGCAACGGGAAGCTCAAACTCCAGCAGAATCGTCCTGATTGAATATAAATATCAGACATGCAAGAAAAGAAATGCTCTAAAATTAATACAGACACGTCCTCCCCGAGGAATAAACCTAGAGTTGTTTTCTCTCTATATTTCTATATATATGCGTGAAGATTTTTACCAAAATAGCTTTATGTGAATATAAATATCTGTCTACAGAAAAATATATTAAGTTTGTGTAAATATTTACATTTAAATGAATTTTAGTGGTCTAGGAATCACATTTATGTAAGATTTATTTTAAACGAGATTTTTCGAAACCCACGTGACCTACAAAAGCCCGTCTAAGTGGTCAGCACTCTGAAGATATGACAAGCCCTGCTGGAAATGTACAGGTGCCTGGGGAGTAACTGCACATACTAAATACCTTGACACTTTCGTACTTGACAAGGTTTTACACAATATACATATATGTAGGTACTTTATAAACAGTCTCGAACCACGTGATATTGAAGTAGGGGACCCCGCCCTTCAAGGTCATAGAAAGTGAAAATTAACACTGTGACCTTCCAAGACTTTACAGTTTAGTTTCTTTTTGCTTTCATGAAACAGCCTCAAAAACTGTATTGGTGTATAATGTTAACACTTTTTATCATACTTTCTTATCCTTGAAAAATGAAATTAACAGGTTTCCTTCCTCGCAACCATTTTTAATGGCAGTACCAGTCTAGCAGATTTGTAAACCATCGTTGTTAATCCATTGGTCATTAGAATTTGTTCACTACTTCCGGTATTCACACATATCGATACCATCAAGTTATTTTCAATCCAGCAGCATTATACTCTTTCTAAATTTATAAAAATAGTTCACTGCACTGACTGTGGACAGTGGACTTGGTCAGAGGTGAATTTTTTTTCGGATTTGAAGTTTCTACATTCTATTATAACCAGCTACATTTTTCCTGTGAAGTTTAGAGAGATTGAATTTGATTTCTTTTTCCTTTCGTATTCTCTGCTCAAGAACAATTTCTTTGCGATGTAGATTGATTCTATAGTTTTCCGATCCTTGTGTTTCATATTGAAATTAAAACCTATATATATATTTTTTTAAATATTTGCTAACTTACTAAGATTCACTAATATTCTAACTATTCCATTGCCTAGTTGGACTAGTTTTATTTTAACTATCGCCTATATTTTTCCCTGGTGTTTGCTGCAGATTTACCATCAATCTTTGATATTTTTGTTTACATACTTTGTGTTCCATTCTTTTCCCTCTAAGTCATAGTCAAGCCATATTCAAATTCATCTCCTTTTCAATAATTAATTGATAAAAAACATTTTTTTCATATTTTAACTCATTTATTCAACAGTCAACTATCATAACCTGATAGTACCATGCTTTTTACTCTTAGCCAGCAAGAATATGGAAATATGACAACATGTAATGTTCAAATATAATAAAATAAGAAATATTTAAAAAGGCAAATTTCAACGAAATATTATACAAGTACTTTATAGTACCTGTCTCTCTCGCAGTCTCACAGAATCACATATTTATCACAACGTAACAGAACTTGGTACACACAAAAAATTGCTAAAGAATTTTTAAAGCCTCAACTGCACATGACTATATTAAATATAGGAGGTGGTATGAACAAAGTATGAGTTTGGTAATATTGTATAAAATTTACACATAAATTTTTGAGGAAAAATAAACAAAATATATGAATAAAATGCCATTTATAAAGCTATTAAAAGGCTCAGATCTACTGAAGTGTAATTTGTTTGGGGAAGAAAACTTAACAAATATAACGACGTTTCAACATAAGCACTATTGATATGCTGCCAATAATAACAAACAACAGGAACAACATTTATCAACTATGTAAAATGAAAAAAAAAATGACACTTGGCAACACAATAAATGACTATAATAAAGCTTTGTCTGTACATAACAGTATATAGCCCTTCCATTTTCTGAGCCGTTAAAAACGAATTACCTCGTCTTCATTTCCCGCTCAAACATGGACAACCTTACGTCATTTCTACTTACAGTAATTATAATCACCGGAGTCCCTGATGACAGAGTGAAATGAATTTTTGAGCTGTCTTTATGTTTTACCGTCTTTTTATAAAGAGGATGTTGTAACTATATGAGGGATTGAGGTTGTGCTAGGCCCGCTAACACTTCCTTGGAGAATGTTTGTGACCATGTCGCTTGTAGAGGTAGCCGGGGGAAGTGGAGCATTTGAAGCCAACATTTTTGCCTCTTTCTTTATCTTCTGTTTCAAATGCACTTTTGCGTGTCTTTTCTTTTCGTCACTTCGGGCAAATTTTCTTCCACAAACGTCACAAGAGAAAGGTTTCTCGCCTGTGTGTGTTCGCACGTGAGTTGTTAGATGGTCACTTCGACTGAACTGACGCATGCAAATGCGACATTGAAAAGGTTTCTGTCCAGTGTGAATGCGAATATGTCGTGTGAGTTCATCGCTTCTGGAGAATCGACGATCGCAACTTTCCACTGGGCATGCGTATGGTCGCTCGTGAAGTGGAGTTTTGCTTGGGCGATTAGGGTACTTTCTAGGCTTTACTGGCATAAGTTTGAGTTGACCCTGTTGGTAGGGTTGAATAATTGATGAAGGCAACGAATGTTTCGATGGGGTACTCTGAGATGACATGCCGAAGTCGGCTTGAGACGATGGAATTAAAAAGTCATTTGGTAAGTCACTAATGCCTGGTTCCTGTTTTATGCTTGGAACTTGATACTGAGGCTGTTGGTAGCTTTGTTGTGTAACATTAAGAGCGTTAAAGTCTGGTAAACCAGCTGGGGCTGGTTGCACTGTCCATTTGAATTCTGTGTTTTGATGTGTGTTCATGTCACTGACGCGCATGTCGTCTGTAAAATGAAGGACAGTTTGTGGTGTCATTGACATACTTGATGACACTGGATAACTAATGTTCATAGGCTGTTGTTCACTGATCATAGGCTGCTGCTGAGAACATGAACTGAATACTGGAGGCTGTTTTACTTGAGTTTCAAAGGCGCGAGAGTAAGGGGGAGGTGGACTAGTGTAATCCAATGACAATGGCTCGCACACTGGAATCTGAGGTTCTGGAGTTGATTGAGTAGAGCTTGGAGTCAAAGGTCCGGGGGACCCAAACCCAGTGGAGTAAGCATCGCAATCTGGGATTCCCATCTCAGGCTGTGGGGAGCCTGTATGTGAGTGCTGTGAGTGCTGAGATGTTGTGGATGGAGCAGGGCTGAAGCATGACTGTTGCTGTTGATGGCACTGGTAGGAATAGTCTGGAACATTGTGACATTGAGGCACAGATGTGGCAACTTGTGCCTGAACCTGTGTTGCTTGTTGGAGGATGCTCAGTAAAGGGGACAGTGGAGCAAAAATGGGCTGCCCACCGGTGCCAGGAAAAAGCTGGTCCGCTGTAGTTGTTGAGGGGGTCACTGATGATGTGACAAGGGTGCCTTTGTACTGGATGCGGTGAGTGATGCCCTGTTGACTAGCTTGGTCTAAGGAAGGCTGAGTTTGTTGAAGAGTGCTTGGAACTGCACCGAGATTTCGCTCGGGGATGGTGATCTGAGCTTCGATGTTTGCTGAAAAATACAAAAGAAAAAATATAAGTTATTTTGTATTTAGTATTATTTCGAATATTACCCTCGTCTGCAACCTATAATTAACTGATCATTTGTTCGGTATCGCTGTCGTCATAAATCAATTACAGTGAATAAGGGGAAAAATGCATATATCGACCCTACTATTAATGACATAGGGTTTACGCACGAGACCACTCAAGATATGCGCCTATGACGTACATTGTACGAGAGCAATGTAAGCTCCGCCCATTGACCCTTATATAGAAATGTTTGCGTAGGCGATTTTTTGATGTGGGAGACCAACATAAACACAATAACGTGGTTTTACTACGACAAAATTTTACTACAAAGTTACTCTACAGGTCCCAAGTCCTTAAAATTTCGAAAAAGTCCTAAATTTAACGTAGTGGCTCGACATTCCATTTTATGAATGAACTGGTAATCGACATTTGCTGACGCACATAGCAGCATGAATACAAATTAGAATTTCTAAAAATAGAAGCATTCCCCAACAGCTGATCGATGTGCTTCAAGTTTTAGAGCAAATACCACAGTTCTACTGTATTTTATAATAAGGTTATATTCTTCGATGAAATGCTAATATTTGCCGGAATTCTATAAACTAAACTATGCGTAAGTGAAAGATCATTTGAACACAATCAACATTGATCAATACATAACATAGAAATCAGAAGCACTGTACATACCCGTGGCAGTAATGGGCACAGGCCCTAGTGGATCATTTCCAAAGAATGTATCCGAATTACTAGTCACAGGTGTGTTTAAAGAGTCATCGATGGACTCCGAGGGCAAGCGGCCCCCTCCTGGTACAGAATTACAGTCAAAACACAGATTAGCCAAGTTGGTCAGGTTAATCTGATCCAATGCAACTTGCGATAGAGTGTCTAAACCGTCCATAATCATTTCCAATGTTTACTGGTGGACACGTGTTTTCATAGAAGTTATGTAAACACTATTAGATCACTGTCCGTAAGACTACTATTTGTATATAACTATATTTCACTACTCAAACACATTCGAGGTTCAGTTTATGAATGAACTTCTCACCAACGATCAACGTATTTATGAATGAAACTCTCTTTACTACATGTCCCATATATGGAAACTCTTAGTACAGTGCGTAAAATTTTGACCAATCAGATCTTACTATGGTTCATCGTTGCTTGACTACGATTGACGCAAATGTGACGTCAATCGAGATTCTATAGTAGTCGGTTCTATAGTAGTCTGCTGTAAAATCTAGGTCACGCAATTTTCAAATCTTATATTGATTAATATTTTTTTCAAAAATTCATGTCTACATTACTTTGAATATACTCTTCCTATATACTAAAAATCATTTGTTGAGCATTTGTTATTTTGGAGAAAACTTGCATAGTACGACCCTGGGAATATTCTCATCGTAGTATGACCTTTACCCTTCCGATTTCTAAAATTTCCTTATATGGGAGACAAGGTCACATACCAGTCCGTGACGTACGAAATACGACGGAACCCTACTGTCCATATATGGAAAAGAGCTCGGAAAACTCCGGTATATTCCGGACAGGAAACACGACTTCCATTTTTGGAAGTATTCGTCAGATACGAGAACAAACGGGTTCCTCCGAGGACAAAAAAAGTTTTTGTGACGTAAATCATCCGGCTAGACGATTCTCGTGAAAGTTAAAAATAGGTAAGCGAAATGAAAATAGATGGCCTGGCATGAGATATAGAGACTTCATTGATTTTGGGCTTCCTCTTCGTACAAAATTATTTATGGTGTAAGCCTAGCTAGATCTATTTTTGTTGTCTTATAACTGCAGTATTGATCCTCGATGCAAACTGAAGCACTCTATAATGTGAACGAAGAGGCTTGACACAAAAAAGAAGACAAATTTTGAGAACACTGAGGAGATCGAGAAAGACTCAAGGGGAAGATAGAAGTACAGTAATTACATAAAGTGTTTATTGCTTATAAATATGATATCGGCATAGTTTATAAATAATACATGTATAGCATGTTTATTGGATTTCTACCATACATTGTAAGCATGCATACATAAACACATGATAAAGAAACACAGCCCTACATTTATAAATAATATTGTTTTAAAATATTAAAATCAGTTTTTCTCACAATATATAAAACAAAAGGAAGTGCCACAGATTTTTTATTTGTGTGTGGACACATTTATCCACTCTGCCTGCAGATATTGGCTGGAATTTTGTGTTTTAATAAATGATTATCATAGCATATTATGAAGAGTGTAGATTTAATTTTAACCCTTATAGCATATCTAAACAATAATGAAAAGCTAGCATGCTTAGGGCCTATTTTAGCCCTCTGAATATCAGAAAGATCAAAACTGCTCCATTTTAGTTGAGAATGTATGAAATATCACTTGGACCCTTTACAATGGCTAATTAATTGAAAACGGCATAATTTTTATAGTAGTCAATGCATTATGACATCAAGAATTGCATGCATGGATCTAGAGGGGAGGGGGGGGGGACCCCCCACCTGGAATTTGCACAGTTATTAAAAGTATATACTGAAGCAAATAAAAAATGACTTTGGAACACCCCTAGAAAATGTGGACCCCACCACCATAACCACCACGAAGTATTATTAAAAGTATATACTGAAGCAAATAAAAAATGACTTTGGAACACCTCTAGAAAATGTGGACCCCACCACCATAACCACCACGAAGTAGGTGTTTTTCACATTGGGAAATGGAATTTACATGTTTTTTTTTCTTTTTTTTTTGCTTGTCAAGAAATTTTTGGGTTGGAAATTTTTTTGACTGGGATCCGGGATGGACCCCCCCCCCCCCCCCCCCCCCCCCCGGAAAAAAAATCCCAGATTCACACCTGAATTGTTTCTGGAAATTTCTTCAAAAATGGCCAATACTTTAAGTTGTTTTTCAATATTTTGTATAGAGCACAACCTCTGATCCAGAATATAAAACAGAAGTGTTACTGCATGAAGTCAATAAAACATTTTTTTTTATTGAATCCAAGACTATGCTTGTATTTTAATTCTTTGCTGAAGGTACTGAAATACACCTGTTTTCTGCAAAATTCAGGAACATTACTATTTCATGAAGCCTGTTTTCTAATACATGTACCTGGACTCTTAGAGGAAACTTTATTATAGGATATGAAAGCAATAAGTCTCTATTATAATATTGATATTTGAAATGGGACATCAGGAGTTAGAAATTAAATGGTATACGAACAGGTCCATTTTATGCATATATTGAACCTAGCTCTTTAAGACTTTAAATCTTTGATATTTGAAGAGGTCATACATGGTTTTGGTGAGTGGACATGTGTCATGTGAGTTCAAATACTGAGTAATCAACTTTTAGCTGAAACTTTGACATTTAATTTCAAAGAAAACCTGCTTCTTGTCATTTTTATTGTATTTTAAAGAGAAGCAATATAAGCTGTGATTGGTAGAAGACTTAATTATCGCATTAGCAGAGAAACATTCAATAAACGTACTATGTGCAAATGAAAGCATCATTATATAATTAACCCATTGTGCTTTTTACTGATGATAACATATTCTTTCACAAAGCATTAAATTAATTTAAGTCATATTGAGAAGATTCTGATTCCCCGAGATCAAACCTATTTCCTGAGGTGAAGACGAGGGAAATAGGTCTGATCAAGGGAAACTCAAAAATCCTGCTAATCCATGAAATACCAGTGATACACTGTAACTGTTTAATTATAATTATTAATATAAAAGTCACTGCCCATAAATCTGATTGACAGCCAATGTTTAGAATCGTCATCTGACAGCTTAGTGATAAGTTTTCTTCCATTTATATTAGCTATACCCACAGTGCTGCCGATTGGCTGATATTAAAGATGGATGTTATGTAATTCAAATTGACATTTTTTGAAGGTATGAAGAAGGTATGAGTGATGTTTGGATTGAAGCAGATCTTAATCATGAAATTGTGTAAAATAAGGTATAATACTATTTGGATGGCAGTATAGTGAATTGAAGTGAATTTAAAGGATTTTGTAAATATATATTAATAAATTACTTTTTACATTCTTACATTACTTCTTTACATTGTTACATTCAGTAGATAGAGATATTTAAAAAATAAACCCCTGTTTCCCAATTGATTTTAGTGGTTTCGTTGGGCTATGGCAAATTGGATAGCTCAGTGGTTAGAGCACCTAACTAAGTATATATTAAATGCAGGGGTCCTGCATGGGTTCAGTTCCTGGTCCTTTAATTTATATTTGGTGCCGTTAGCCATCCCTACACTTGCAGTTGAAAGTCCTGCCAGGGGAAAAAATCAGGCTTAAGTGTTTTTTCAAGGGGAAGGACAATTTAAAGAGGAAGGAATGTAGTGGTTTGGGAATAGTTACGGTGGATATTGACCTTGATAGCTCAGTGGTTTAAAGCACTTGAATAGTAATGCAGGGGTTTGAGCTCAGTTACCTGTCCAGCCATAAATTTTCTCCTATTCTGTAACATATTTAAGAATCAATGTTTACTTAATTATTAAAATTCTAAAAGCAATATGGTTGATTATTGATAGTCCTGTATCTATTTTAAAAAAAGTATCTGAAAAAGGCATTAATTGTTCCTCAAATGTCATTACAATTAAATTACAAATATCTCTAAATTAAAAGTATATGTACGGTTCTGAATTTTTTACACAATGAACACAGTACATTTACTGGTAGTACAATATCATGTCCATGGGCTCCTTTAGATTTAATTATATTCACTAAATGTGTTTTAAGCTGAATATTTTGTGGCCCCATGCTGATGATCAAAGGAGGTATGAAGTTAAATTATCATCATTAAATGATAGCTAGAGTATTATTTAATGCAGTTCTCCCTCACTGATATGATCACATTGGTATATTATAAGGGGATATATTGACCGAACAGTGCTGAAATGTACATATTTTTTGGTATGATGGTAATATTCTGAGTATTCTTTTACCTTATCTTTTTCAGAATTTTTTCGGCAAAGATGAATTAAATTACGTAGTGTCGATGGCTTGATATCTAGTGCCTATCTTAGCTAATTGTTTCTTAACGTACATCGAATAAGTAAAGTTAGCGTTTGCAATCATAATCAATAAATGTATCGATTAAGATTCAAATGAAATAAAAGACAAAAAAGTACAATTTTATCTATACAAATATATGAAATGTACTTTTTAACCCCAAAAGAGAAACAGTATGGATCAACATTTATGTTTTATCATATTTCAATAATAGGACTTTAAGTATTCTTATTTTAAAAATAATGTTAAGTTGAGAATGTATGATTATCATTTCTGACTTTCAGGTGACAACTGGGTCAAGTTCTGCTCTGAATACAATGAAAAAAGTGGCAGCTCCGAGATTAAAACTGTAGATATGATGATGACGTGGATGTCAAAATCCCTTGGATGGGTAAAGGATTTAAGTTATTCTTTAAAATGTTCAAATGACAATTCTAACAATCTTTGGTGCATTCAAAATGGTATTATATAATGCAATTATGAACACAATATCTAGGTCTCTTGCAGTAGAGTGAGATTTTATCTGTCGATCATATGTCATTTCTCTTTTCAATTTTCAAGGTTAGTTTATAATGTAAAGGTATCCTGATAAATGAGGGCAATTTATTTCCCACATAGGAATGCCTTTAGTTAAAAGATTCTCTTAATTAGCATAAATTTGTTAAATAGATCAAATAAGTGTACCAATACCAAATGCAATACAATATGCTTTAGTGCTTGTTTAAGTTGCATGTAAAAAGTTAATAAATTTCATTTTTTAAAAAACATATATACTGTTTAGAATTATATAACATACATGCATGATTATATATAGTGTAGGAGGTTATGCAAGGGATTATTTTCTATAAAAATCTTTTTACTCCCAAGGATTATTTTCAAGCGATGACGAAAATGTCGGATATATTTCTTATAAACTCAGATTCATCATTATACCTTCGTTATTTATGTCCACACTTCTGAGATATTACTCGGGATAAAAAAGATGCAGATGTTTGCAGAAAATTTAAACCTTTATAGACTTGTGTTAAAGTATTTTCAGGGTACTTGAATTTTTTTTTTAAATAAAATTTTATATCATGTTCACATATTCAGTTGCTTTCAAGTGTACTTGTATGTGAACTTGGTATACATACGATAATTTTATGCTGGTCATTAATGAAAAAGAATGATTTTACCAAGTAAGATAATTTTTTAATTTTAGCATGTTTTAGAACTTCTTAAATATTAAAATTGTTAAGTACTGCATGATCACAGTGAAATTATGAAGGTTTTCTTCAGTCAAAGAATCCAAGATTGGCAATTTGATGATAAATTTCTGTCTATATTTGTTTCTTTACAAGTTAATTATGGATTAATTGTGTAGGAGGATTTTTTTACCATTCTGGCAACACGAAACAATGACTGTGGTACACATATATTGTTTATGTACAAAGGCTCTTTAATATTTCATGACTGTGTTTGTATATATTCTAAAGAATTTAGTCACTATATGATTAGTCATCTAAAATTTTATGTCCTAATAGGCAAACTATTATCAAATTGTTGTTTTATATTTCCACTGCATATTTTTTTTAGAAGTTTTACAGAAAGAATTTAGAAGATGAAAGCAGAGAAATTCACTTTGAGAAAGGTAATGGCAGAGATTTTTATTCAATCTTAATTAACCAACTTCACATGCATACATACATGTACTATAAATGTTTAACCAGTTAATTTTAGTTTTCACAACAGTACTGCACAATTAACATCAATGTGTCAAACTTTAAGCTGACTTTTAATGCACAAATGCAAATGTTACAGCTTTTGTCCCATATCAATACATGTGTGTTTTTTTTAAATGTAAAACAGCTATTTTTTTTTTAAATGTTTGTCTTTAAGTGTATGCATTTGTTGGTAAATTGAGAATTCCTTAAGAAGTAAAAATTGTCCAGCTCTCTGACTTTTTATTTTGGATGTATAGTATATGTACTACTATACATTTATATACTCGCCTATCACAAATATTTTTGGAAGCTAAATTTTGGTCTAAAACTCTATATCTGACTTTATATATTGTTTTTCATACTAACTGTTAGGCCATTATTTATACACTGAACTGTCTATGGATTTTTCCGTTTTTTTCCCGATCATGACAAGGAGCACACGGTGGGTGTGACTGGTCAGCAGGGGATGCTCACTCCTCCATGGCACCTGATCCCACCTCTAAATTTTGAGGTCCATGTTTGCTCTCCTCCAAATTTGTATCGTTTCATTGGATTTTCGAGATTAAATATTGTACGTTATCTTCATATTTCATTATATGTGAATTCTTGAAAAAATTGGTATTTTTCTGGAAGAAGAAATATAGTTATTTTGAATCAATTCCAGTGATAATTGTTTATATAAAGACCAGAACTTAATCTATTTTAGGAAAGAAAAAAAAGGGGTTAATTACCATATGCATAAAACACAATTGCTTACAGATTAAATGATCTTATATTTGTTTAAATTGATAATAAAAGATCAATGTCATACCCCAAAACATACTTGGAAACGCAGGTAAATACAATACAATATGAAATATTAATCTAAAATGGGGGGCAGATTCTGGCAAAAAACCATACCAACTTATAAGTGCAGGGTCAGTAGCAAATTCCTTCCAAATAATCTGAAAAAATACAACTTACTTGTAAAGCAAACAGACTTATATAGACAAGTATATATGGTATATGTGATTGACTCTATAGGGAACATATGATTAATTATTCTTAAAAGGCTGTCTTGAGCAAGTTCACAATTGCATGAAAACAGCTGATATTCCACTTCCACATAAATAATACATGTATTCATAGTTATATGTACATGTAACAATATGAAGAGCCAGTTACTAAAATTGATCAAGCAATTTTTTGAGTAGTATTCAGATACAGACAAAACCAATTTTTATAATGAGGCTTCAGTGATGTCTTAAATTTATGATGTTTTAATTTATCACTTAAAGCATATTTAGAGGGATCACTTAATAGGTTGTTATTTAGCATACAGTGTGTATATTTGAAAAATATAAATTCTTCTTCCATACATGAATTTCATTTTTCATAAAATATTTATATTAACTTACAGTCTGAATTTCATTTTGAACATCTTTCACTTAGACCATTTGAGAGTCAAAGTCTTAACCAAATTTTTCTGCATCACAAGTGGGTTAGACAAATAAAATGAAATTTAAAGCACACATAACCCTTTTCAAACTTTGTTTGGTTTTTGAAGTTGCTATGCTGTTATCAGTGGATTTATACGTGATTGGAAGGGGATAAAAAGTAATATGGTGACCTAGAAAATTGACACCTGGTACATAAAAGTACAGGTCAAATAAGTTCTAGTTATCGATGTGCTCGGAAACTGTGACTGGCAATTAACCCACGCTTACTATGAATGTTTACTCATTAGAATCCTACTAGTGTCAGTTATGATTAATTTAAAAAGTTGAATTTTAATTTCATGCCAATGTAATTGTAAGCCCATGACTTCTCAAGCGTACATATTTAATTTTGTTCTTTTTCCCTCCTACGGTTTCTCGGTTAGGATCATAAGGAACCGGAGTAAAGAAAATTCATTGAAATGGGACTATAAGTGCTGTTAAATTTTCATAAATGAGCAAGATTATCAACACACACAAATAATTATGAATATAATCATGGAGTGTTTTATGCCGAGTCAGTCAAAAATTGGTTTGTTTGCAAAGTCAGCCAAGGTTATATAAAGGAAGAATTTTGTATGTCTCTTGAGTATGGACTTACAATGATTAAAATAAGGAAGTATAATTAGATTCAAGACGGCGTCATAGTGCTTCATTTACAAAAGTTGTTTCAGAACACTTAAATTATTTCATTGTATGACATTACCAAATTTATAATTCATGGTAGTAAATTATTACAATGTTAATTTTACAAAGAAAATACATGAATTATTAACCAAGCTAATGTGTTTTTTTTCTTCCAACCAGAGCCTATACACTGTGGAACATACTCTTCATTTTTAAGTCCATTTGAATTAACTTTTTTTGTTATGCAAAATAATCTTGTTAAGCACCTTTCTCTTTTCAAGATAAATTAGCTTCATATTCAGGATCATGGATGTAAAAATTATTTAAAGTGATATACATGTACTTATGGAAATCCCTGTGGTCATTGAATAAGCATAGAGGAATACATGGAATAGGAACTAATCTGTGCTGAGAGCAATATCCTCCCTTAGCTACTAAAGATGTTAAAATCCAAAAATTGTTAAATGAATTAAGAGACAGTTTAGATGCAAAGTTGACTATAAGTTCTTCAAAGAGTGTGCTTGGGTACATACATGTAGGTACTATATTTTCAACACAGGACAACAAAGACGTTAGTGTGAATTGATTTTAACATTTTGTGTAAATTAAGGATTGTAAATAAATTGTGAACATATACAAGAAGGATATATTGCATTGATCCTTTTGTTTTTTAATTTCCTTGGACTGATTCTCTATGAAACATAAAAATCACATAATTTTTAATACAAAATTTTTGGTCTTTTGAAAGCTATATATGGCATATCTGAGCTTGGAAAGTAATAATACAAGACTGAGTGTAATTAGACATCATATAATATATGTTATTTACATTCAAATTTAACGAGGCCGAGTCTAATTATTTCTACCCAAGAGATTTTGATAAATTTTCTTGAATTAATTTTTACTATTATATTTATTGTTTTAAGATTACAAAAAATCGAATGTTTACTGTCCCGATTTCTTAGGGGGCCATCTCAAAAGTTGTCAAATTTTACTATTGGACCCTATTGGAATTTGTTGGAAAAGTGACAAATTATCACATTTTTTCCATATTTTTGTATTTCTGCCCTAGAGAATTCTTTTTCAGCCAAGTACATGAAAGTTATAAATTACAAAAAGTCACCAAATTGTGAAATTTCAAAAAACTTGACCATCTAGGTTGGTGCAGGAATTATTACAAAGTTTATTTTTTCAATGCCCAATACCTCTAAAATTGCCATGATATTGCTGTATATGTATATATCGGTGCAGATGAATTGTCGGCACAGATGAATTATTTTGGTAAAAATAGCAATGTTTAGATTGCTAGTATGTTTCTTTTGATGTTCTGTCAACAGTTTTTAGTAAAATATCCACGGACGTCTTGAATATACAAGCGAGTCATGTGTCATTCTTCAGCATTATGCATTCCTTACAAAATCGGAAAACAGTGACGTCATCAGAGCCATTTCACTTTTTTTTCCCCCCAAATTATTGTCGTAAAAGCAAAATTTCAGACCCGTAGGTGTTACAGATAATGTTAATTTTGTATTAAAATCACAATATTTGGGGAAGGTGTAATGTCATAAATATGACTGCATGAAATTAAAAAGCTGCGCAAAGTCATGCGCACTCGCATTACACTCGGTCTCGTTAAATTTTCTCTGATTTTGAGCTTGAATAACCTCACGTTTCTATAGTAAAATTGACTTTAAATTTGTCTGTTATTTAAATATGGAGTCGGTATATAAATTGGTTATTGTTTTAAATTTTTAATATCTTTGAAATGTGGTCGATTTAAATTGTGTAATTTACAGGAAAGTCCTATCTTAACGTTATATAAAGTATTATAAAACAAATAGAAAGATCTTTTTAATTTTGGTTACCTAGCTGAACTTACCAAAAAATAGGCCATATATGACTTATAGTTTGATTTACACCTGCCTCTTCCTTAACCGAACTATAATGCCAATTGCTCACTGGAAGAGATTATTATATTAATTTTATTATGCCCCCGTAATCGAAGATGCGGGGGCATATAGTTTTTGCCCTGTTCGTCTGTCTGTCAGTGTTTGTCCGCAAAAACTTTAACCTTGCCCATAACTTTTGATTGGTTGGAGCTATGGCTTTAATATTTCACATGAATGTGTATTCCTTGTGACAAGACCTTTCTTTTGGTACCATTATAATTGACCTTTTGACCTTGACCTTGGAGTTTGATCCACTTTTGCAAATTTCATAAGACATTAACCTTGGCCATAACTTTTGAACACTTGAAGCTTGGGCCTTCAAACTTCACAAGTATATTCCTTATAAGAAGACCTTACTTTGGATACCAAATCTTTGACCCTTTGACCTTGACATTGGAGTTTGACCTACTGTTGAAAAAACTTTAATCTTGGCCATAACTTTTGAACAGTTTGTGCTAGGTCTTTTGTACTTCTCATGTGTACTCCTTGTGACAAGTCCTTTCTTTACATACCAACAACTTTTGACCTTGACCTTGGAGTTTGACCTACTTCAATTTTGAAAATTTTTTACCTTGGCCATAACTTTTGAACAGATAATGCTAGGGTTTTCATACATCACATATGCATTCCATTTGAGAAGACCTTCCTTAAGATACCAACAAGTTTGACCCTTTGACCTTGACCTTGGAGTTTGACCTACTTCAATTTTGAAAAATTTTAACCTTGACCATAACATTTGAACAGTTAATGCTAGGGTTTTCATACTTCATGTATGCATTCCTTGTGAGAAGACCTTCCTTTAGATACCAACAACTTTGACCCTTTGACCTTGAAGTTTGACCTACTTTTGTAAAACTTTAACCTTGGCCATAACTT